GTTTGCCAGGAGGACAGGATCTAGGGTGCTTTCAAAGAAATTGTCCTACTACCACCTCACATCTTCTCCTACCTCCCAGAGATGCTGATTTATTAGGTTTAGGATGGGCCCCACCTCAGAACCTTTACAAATTTCCAGGTCAGTTTATTTTATTATTATTTTTAAATATATTTTATTGATTTTTTTTACAGAGAGAAAGGGAGAGAGATAGCTAGAAACATCGATGAGAGAGAAACATCGACCAGCTGCCTCTGGCACACCCCCTACGCCCGCAACCAACGTACATGCCCTTGACCGGAATCGAACCTGGGACCTTTCAGTCCGCAGACTGACGCTCTACCACTGAGCCAAACCGGTTTCGGCCCAGGTCAGTTTATTAATGATAGCCATTCTGACAGGTATGGGGTGATATCTCATTGCGGTATTAGTTTGCATTTCCCTGATATGAGTGACCTTGAGCATTTTTTCATATGTCTACTGGCCATCTGTATGTCCTCTTTGGAGAAGTGTCTATTCAGGTTCTTTGCCCATTTTTTAATTGGGTTGTTTGGGTGTGTTTTTTGTTGCTGTTCTTGTTTTTGGTGTTGGATTATATGAGTTCTTTATAAATATTGGATATTAACCTTTTATCAGATGTACCATTGGCAAATCTGCTCTCTCACTCAGTGGATTGTCTTTTCATTTTGTTGATGGTTTCTTTTGCTGTGCAAAAAAGTTTTTAGTTTGGTGTAGTGACATTTGTTTATTTTTTTTTCTTTTGTTTCCCTTGCCTGAGGTGATATATAAGAAAAAATATTGCTACGAGAAATGTCTGAGATTTTATTGCCTATGTTTTCTTCTAGGATAAATCAACAAACAACAAGTGCTGGTGAGGATGTGGAGAAAAGGGAACCCTCGTGCACTGTTAGTGGGAATGCAGATTGGTGCAGCCACTATTGAAAACATTATGGAGATTCCTCAAACAATAAAAAAAATGGAACTGCATTATACTCCACAATTTCACTACTGTGTATATATCCAAAGGAACCCAAAACACTAATTTGAAAGAATATATGCACCCATGTGTTCATTGCAGCGTTATTTACAACTAGAGGCCCAGTGCATGAAATTCATGCAAGAGTAGGCCTTCCTTTACCCAGCTGCCTGCACCAACTTGCCTCTGGCACCTGGGACCTGGGCTTCCCTGGAAGCCCTGGCTTCATCTGGAAGGTCATCCCAAAGAACACCTGAGAGGATGTCGGGTCTAATTAGCATATTACGCTTTTCTTATCATAGATAGCCAAGATATGGAAATAGCCCAAGTGTCCGTCAATAGACAAGTGGATAAAAAAGTGGTGGTACATATATGCAAGGAAACATTACTTGGCCATAAAAGAATGAAAGCATACCATTTTGACATAATGGATAAATCTAGAGGGTCCTAGGCTATGTGAAATAAGTCAGACAAAGAAAAACAAATACTATGTGACTTCACTCTAAAAAATAAAATAAATGAATAAGCAAAATAGAAAAGGACTCATAGATACAGAGAACTGATTAATGGTTGCTAGAGGGATGAGGGGTTAGGAATCAGGTGAAAAAGGTGAAGGGGTTAAGAAGTACTAACTGAGAGTCACAAAATATTCATGAGAATGTCACGAACAGCATAGAGAAGATAGTTGGTAATATTGTATTGACTATGTATGCGCCAGGTGGGAGATCGCTCTGCAGGGTATGTGGTTGTCTCACCACTGTGCTGTGCACTTGAAACTAATAAAAACTAGTGTTGAATGTAAACTGTAATTTAAAAATAAAATTTAAAATAATAATAATATCCCTGCCCTTCTGTGTGACAATGCTACCTTTGACTGGCTGTCAGGTTGATAAGCTCCCAGGTGAGTGGAAATCCATGCCCTCACCTGGTGTCCAGGGCACTGTAGATATTGTGGGCTATAAAGCTGGTCATGGACCCAAGCCTAACTAGTCTCTCCAATTAACACTCCTAGTGACACTCACACTGTAATAATGAAGCTTTCTTGAAGATGGTGGGCCAATGACTTCCTGCAACTAAAAATGTTCCTTTATTTAAATGAATGACATCTAAAATCACTAGAATTAAAAGCTATACCCCGATTATGAATGGGTTTAACCCAGAGAAGACAGACCAAGCGTGCTGCCTTTTGGGGGACATGTGACAGTGATTCTTGCCCAGCTTCTGAGGATGATCCTGAGAAGCAACAAAAGTAATGGAGTGCAAGGTTGACAGGGCAACGGGCAGCCATCCAGCTTCTCATTCTGAATAGTGCCATGTTTCAGATGATTATGTCTGTGTTGAAAAAAAAAAAATGAAAACAGAAAACAGGATCTAGAAAATTTAAAGCCCTTGACTTTAGACTAAATCTCAGGGGAGAGCTGAGCAAATGCCAAATGCCTAATTAGGAGACAATGAAAAAGGTCAATTTCTTCCATTCTTTGTTTCTTTAAAACAAAATAGTAACTTGAATCTTAAAGCTAAAACTTCAGAGCACTGCTCCGCTGGTCATCAGATGTGGCAGAATGCAGGTGCCACAGTTGCCTAATGAACGTTGGGTATTAAAAAGGCTGGTGCAGTTTTTGAGATTCAGAATGAATTTCTAAATGATATTAACAGGACCTAAATGTTGCATTCCTGAAATATTAACAGGTGGTGGATGGCCTATACTGGAATATTCTTTTTGTCCTTCATCTTTGACTTGTTAGACTATTTAAAAGATTCTTCTTTAAGCAGACCAAGTCATGACTAAAAATCCCTATTTAAATAGATATTTATACATTTAATTTAACATTATATTAAAATACCATTTGATTCATAAAGAAGGCTGAAATATCATTAAAAAGCTAGATAAAGTTAGAAGTTTAGAAATAAACAAGATTAATATATGTTTGGTGAAATTACATAATGTTTTCATTGGATAATGTTTTCTTCTACACAATTTACTTTTCATAACCTAACTCTTTTTTTTTTTTTTAAAGATTTAGGAATAGGAATCTTTATCCCAGTTCTGACTTTTAGATGTGCTTATGCATTAAAATGGAAAAAACAAACAAACAAACAAACAAACACAACAAGACTGCAGAGGTGTCCGATGAAACAGAACCTCCTATGGCAATGAGGAACCGGTTCCCTCACTGAGGTCTGCTCTCTGTCCACTGCAAGAGCAAGTCAGGCTCCCACCTGCTGCCAGTCTCCACCTCCCCCGGGGCTTTCCAGGGGGTCCTTGGATTTGTGGTGCCCTTTGAAACAGCAAATTTCAGATCATCATCAAGTCCTTGAAGATTAGGGGAGATTTAAGAGTCCTCTCTGGGGATTAATTGCTACTTTAAAACAATGCTGGATTTGAAAAGGAATTCTCCCAGGCACCAGTGGATTAATCTTGCCATTGCTCTACTGAGATAAATGAAAGAAGAAGCAATGCCAGCAAACACTTTTCTGTCAAAGGATCCTCCAAAAACCAAACAGTCCAGAGTACAAACGCCAAGATTTATAAGCAGCAGGAAGTATGTTGGGCCCTTCAGAATAAAATAAATTCCCCTGCATATTTTGGCCGTGTTCTTCTATTCTTTTCAGACTCAAGACAGATTGTTCACATGTAAGAAAAAAAAAAATCCTTGTGGGTTTATCTCAGAAGATTCACACTCTAGCCTGCTCCTCCCAGGCTACCTGGTGGGCTGAAATATGTTAAGAAAATACAGGTTGTTATTTAAATTAGGCCAAAATTATGATGTTGAGAGGATATCAACCTCATAATAATGACAGTGTTTTCAAAGCCCCAAATAAGTAATGTTTAGACTAGCCACCCCTCTTATTATCATTAAATAATATGATTAATAATAAATGGCGCACAGATACTTAAACAAATTTCAAGTGGGAGAGAGGTACCATAAGTCTGTCTTTGAGAATTGGGTGTAACTAGGACAGAAACTTGATTTTAGAATTGGTCTTTGTAAGGGCTTTGAGAACCTTCTTCACCAAATGCATGAACTTAACTGTAACCTAAAATCCATCCTCTGTGGGTCAATGTAGGTTTTCCCTGTCCTCTGGCAAAAGAGCATCTGACCCTGGAGACAAAAGTTCTTTCTAGAAGAAGCTTTTGTAAGTTATTCATTTTTGTACAAATGGCACAAAAGGATTATTTTTGAGTGGGTTGGCCTCAACTCATACCATACAACTTCACTTTCTATTATCCTAAGAGGACCCTGGGTTTGACATTTTAAAATCTACTCTACTGCCTCTCAAATTGGAGAAGAGCAAAATGAGGAGCAGACACTGGTTGGGGGTGGGAGTGGGGGCAGTGTAAGAAGTTATCTGACAAGCATCATTCGCCAAGAAGTGAAATTTGACATGTTCCCTGATTCAGTAGCTACTCCTGAAACCCTTCTCCGTAAAAACCATAGCTCAAAGATACCATACATGGTACTCAGTTTGTTGTTTGTTTTTTACCTTTAAAAAATTCTTATACTTTTCCAAATGCATATATTTTTTCTCTGGAGTACTTTAAAATAACTTGACCAAAGCATTCTTAGTTTACATAACATTTCCCTGAAGAGCACAGATCGAAAAGCTTCCCTTATAGGTGAAATTAATTGTCTTTCTCCTAAAACTACCAGGTGTTCCTACTTCTCTAAATATTTTGCAATAACTAAGGTTCCTAGACGAATGGACCATAATACTATGAATGTAAAAGCTTACCCATCTGAGCTAATATTAGGTGAGAGTTTGGGGGAGTGAAAAGGACACTGGGTCAAGCCCTGGCCATAGGGGATGAATGCCTCAAGAAGGGTGACACTTCCATTCCATACGCTTGTCTCCTCATAGACAAGGTGTTGATGATAATGCATACCCATCAGGACTACACAGACTTAAGCCAAGCACAGTAAAGCATACAGCACTATGCACATGTAGCTGTGACTATTAGTCTTCCACACGTATTAAGGGTCAAGGCCCTCAGAAATCAAAGAAAGATGTATGAAGTCAGATTTACCAATTCTTCATTTTCAAACTCCAGGTTATACTGTGCTGCTTCTTCTGTCACTGGTTTCTGAACGATGTTTCTGCAGATGAGCCAGATGGTCAGACTAGCGATGAACATCCCAATATCAGGTACAAACACTCTGATCCCATTGCCAGCGTCAGCTCCCTTTAAGCTGTGGAAGGAAAGAAAAGGGCGAGGAAATGTAGTTGCTTTTATATTTCCATGGTTAAATTAGCATAAAGTACGTTTGAATCTTCTTAATGATTTAAAACTAAGGATACCTTGTTTTCTGCTCCAAAGGTACCAAAAAGCTTTTCATTGACCTCAGAGTCTTATGTAATTTAATATTTAGGAAGGTTCCACGGTTTCTCTGGAGTTTTGGAACTATTATAAAGACCCCTAAATCAATGCTCACTCTCAGAACAAGCTAATAAACTATATCACTAAATAAACAACATGTCCGGTCCAGATAAAGGTGCTTGCACTCTAGCTGAAGCAGTTAAAAACTAGGCATTTACTAGTGGCTAAGAGAGCTTTTACTTTAGACATAAATCAAAGCCCAGAAGGGAAAAAGTAGAGAAAATGCTAATATAATCCTTGAGTTCAGGAATCTCTTCATTATTTGTAATACTTAGTTGATTTTTTCCCATATTATTCCAAGAAATGTAAAACTAGTATGTTTTTTTCTTTTAGTCTTGAGAATTAACAATGAACTTCAAATTAGAAATTTGGGTTCAAGTGTCAGTAAGTCATCGACTAGCTGCATTCCACTGGAGGATTTCTCAGAGTCATATGTTCTTCCTCTGTGCCAAAGAGATAACACTATTTGCCTTCTTTATCTCATTTGAGTCCAATGAAAGTGAATCAATGTTATCAGAAATAAAACTTGTTTAGAGACAGGAAGCAAAAGATAGGAATATATATCATGTAAATATATATGTTTTTTCATATACTCTTTATATAATTAAATACATACTGTGTTATGTTCGTTTACATTGCATATGTTATACTAGAGGCCAGGTGCAGGGATTTGTGTGCTGGCAGGGTCCCTCAGCTTGGCCTGCACCCTCTTGCAATCCGGGACCTTTGGGGGATGTTGGACTGCCAGTTTCTGCCCGATCCCTGCAGGCTAGGCTGAGGGACCCCTAGTATGCATATAAAATCTTTGGTTAATCTCTTCCCATCCTCTTCTCCCCACCATCCCTCTGAGACTCATCAATCTGTTCCATGTTTCTATCCCTGTGCATTGAGCATCTGCTACCTGGTGGTCAGTGCCCATCATAGCTACTGGTCAAACAGTTGAACGGTCAAAATGCAGAACGGTTACTTAGGCTTTTATATAGAGAGATATTATGATTAAAACATAAAATAATAACAAATAGAAAGACTGCCTCACCCCCCTAGAAATAACCATTAGTGACATGTTAGTAAATTTAAAAAGTAGTAACAATGGCTACCACTATAGAGCAATTGCTTTATGCTAAGAGCTTGACACATATTATTTAATCCAACTAACCACTATGTAGAATTAGGCATTATTATTTAATCTCCTTTAGATACAAAAAAAATTAGGCTTCAAATGGCAAACTAATTCCCCTAATGTCATAGAAACAGATAGTATTCTAATGTAGGATATTCCAGGGGAAAATCCTCAAACCAATCTAATTTCCTTTAAAAAAAAAAAAAAAAAAAGAGGTCTGAAAAGGGCATACACTGCATAAGCTTTATCTTGACAAATGGCTCTTCCCTTTTCTGAACAATGAAATAGAAAATATACCTCCATAAATAACACAAATATGGTTGTGTCAGAGGTTTTTGTTTGTTTGTTTGTTTTGTTTTTTGTTTTTTTGTTTTAAATGGCAAATTTCTTTCCTTTGGGACAAGAGTAAGAGAATTTGATTAAGAACACTTCATCTAAACTAAATGTATAATGACATTGATGATTGATTTTACCATAGGAAACAAATGTAGATTCTTTGTATACTTTTAATGTACAGCAGAAATGAGAACTAATTTCATTAGAATGAGAAGAAAGGGGGTCAAGATGGATTTGGTGGGATAGGTTATTATAGCTCTTTCATGGGAAACAAACTGACCATGGCATTCTATGGAAAGTACCATTTAAGTGAGTTGAGGGGGAAAGAGTTCTTAAAGGAAAGCTAACAATCTCAGCTGATTCCTGCACCACAACAGAGACATAGGAAGCCAGTGCTGAGCCTTGAGCCTGTCCTATCTGTGGACAGCATTAAGCTCCCAATTTGCAAACAGTCCCTGTGAGATAATAGACTTAGTCTTAGCTCTGCGTGCTGTACTAAAAGAGACATTTCATAGCACACATACGAGGGAGTAAATAGAGGCAGTTTGTGAAAGCAATCACCCCACCTACTGTGAGAAAATTCAGCTATTGGATCCAGGATGGGGCTGAGATCCCAATTTAGAATGGAATCTTTCAGCGACAGAGGTGCTAACCCATTAACTACTACTCTTGGCTTGCTGAGTTAACAAAGCAGTGCACTCAAAATACTACCATTGTAGAAACAATAAAACTGAGGAATCTACTGAAGAGCATGTATAATGAATGGGTCATAGTTTAATTGATACATGATTTGGGAAGCATTTTATCAACAAAATTCCCTTCTTCATTGTTTAGACCGGTGCCTACTAAAGTGCATTAATCTGATTGTACTTTATATATTCTTCAGAAATGCTATTAATTAAAACAAAACAAAAGTTAAAAAACAGTCTTCAGTTCAAAAAATGTTAGAAAATCACAATGCATATTACTACAGTAAAGTACTTGAGAAGTTCTGTAGTAAAAACAATATATTTGTGTTTGTTTAAGCCTCTGTTTCCCAAATTTATTTGACTAAAACCATTTCTTCAAAGTTGTATGTAATATTTATTATATTCTGCTGAGCTAATGTTCATGGCACAGATTTTTCAAAAATGTTTGGTTAGATCTGCTCATGGGTCTAGATATTTGGTCAAAATGAATAGATAATAAGGAAACTATACTAACGTGTAGCTAATTCCTATATATTTGTTTAATGGGCCTCTATTAATTTTAGAAGTCAATGACTTCTCATTCAGTTCCTTCACCCAATCATCCAAATACCTATCCATTCACTCAGTTCATGCTGGGAGCCACATGGGGTCTGTGCTTGGGAGAGACATTATGGCTGAAAGGGTAGATTTGAGTTTTCTTCTCACATATGTTGGCTCATTCAAAAGAGTAAATTAGTATTCAGAGACAGTGTATGGCATAGGTAATATATGTGGGATGCCCTCTAAAGTAATCATAAGTATACATTACAGGCATTGAACAATAAATTAAAATTTACTTGTAGTAAATTCTACATTTGGGACTAAGCTAACCAGGTATTGCATAGAAGTCCTGTATTAAAATAAATTAATAATATCTATGTATACATTTTCCCTAAAATATTATCCTAGATAGCGCTGTTTTCCAGGCATATTAAATTACATTTTTTTCATATATAAAAGTATGTACTAAACTGCTTAAAACATCATGTTCTCTTAAGTAGGCAAACATTTCCTTTCCAATTTGTTATCGTCAATGATCTTATTTATCCAGTGTATTTATACTTGAAAGGGAATTGAGGAAGCTGGAAATTGGGAATAACCTACATATCCATCAAGAAGAAAATAAATAGATTAAATTAGAATAGATCCATAAGATAAAATAAATACTATAAATCAACAAACTTGTATAAATTGTGTGACCTATGTATCTTACAAACAAAATATTGAGAAAAATAAAAAAGGATAAAAGTAGTAAACATTCAGAATGTTAATCACTTAAGGATTCAGGCATAAAGAACTAAATGCACACAACAACTACAATATTTCTGGGTGAGGGCGAAGGATACAGTCAACTATATTAGTAATGCTGAAGTTCTTATACTGGTTGAAGGTTAATTGGTAGATACAAAAGTATATCTTTCATACTTCATATTTTTCATAGAACAGTCATACTACTTTCTTCTGTAGAGCATATTTAAAGAATTTTAAGTCAATTACCTAGCCTGAGAAAAATTATAAACAACTGATACCATAATAGTCATGCTTATATTTGGCCTGATTGACTCATTAATTAAGTTAAATTACAATTTTTCTGTCCAAGTCCAGTGAAGAAGTAAGTCAGGTATGTGTATTCATGACAAAATTATTTTCCTAAGTTTGTTCCTCATGGACAAAATGATTTCTAAGGGTCTTCCCAAGTCTAAAATTTTATGATGACTAGGAAAATCCACAACAAGAAGGCAGTGAGACTGAGGATAAGGAACAAGAAAAATGACACAGTTTCAGGGAATGCTGACAGTGAGCATCCAGGTACAAACATGACCAAGATCATTTAAAAAGTTCAAAAAGAAAACTCCCATTTGTGCCACTCTTTGGAGGGAACAAGTCCTTTGTTTCAGAATTGATAAAAAGGTCAACTTCAATTGAATCTCAACACAATGATTAAAATATCAAATGAGCATTATTGAACGAATACAAACTATTAGAATTGTTGTACCTAGTTCTCTGGTGGCCTCTGAAGCTCATCACTGAGAGAGGGTCTATGTTTGCTTCTGTTTTTCTTAAGCAAAAGCCCAGCTCGCTGATTCAGCTTCACCAGTCACTCAGATTTAATAAATCACTTTAAGGGCAGACAAATCAAGTGAATGTATATCTAACCGTAAAAACACTGAAAGAGATAGGACTCTGATTTCAACTGCTTCCCACATATGTTTTAACAATAGCCACAGAGGCTACTTTTTATTTAATATTTGACTTCATTCAGCAAGTCATGATAGCAGGCCTAATATATTTCATGTGAATGGAGAAAGATTTAGATTAGAAACTCTGGAGAGTAATGTAACATTTATGGAGAACCACATTCAATATTGGGATCAAGGGAATCCACAGTTGAAGCAAGCATCAGAGAATCCAAACAATTAGCTCGTTTCCATGAATTTCTACCACTAAAATGGCAATTAAATGCCAATTTCTAATTACCTAAAGGTGTGAGTTGGTGCTGAATTTTCAGGATATTTTTTATATTAGTGGTTGGATGTGTGTGAATACTTTAAAATCAAAACACTGCTTGACTATTTTAATCATTTATCTCATTGTGAGAAGCTGTTGTAACAAACACTTTATTTTCAT